GGAAAAGGCTCATGGTTTACTCTAGTCGAGAACCGACACGCCGCTGCCGGAGAGGGTCACGATCTGCATGCTCATGAGGCCCACGAAGATCGAATCCACGCGGTCCGCGAGCATTTGCTTGAAGCTGAAGCGACACAGGTCGCCGGAGCGGGTGCTCAGACCTGAAGTGGGGTGCTTGGGTACATGCTCCGTGGGGAAAGCGGCGATGAAATGCGTGTTGTCATAGTTCGGCAGGCGCATGTTGCGCAGCTTGCTGTCATATGTACCCGCCATAATGGACAAAAAATGATGATATTCCGCTACCCAATAGACCCGGTTAGCCAGAATTCTGCCTCAAAGGTAAACCGTCTGTGACGAACACCATTTTGCCGAATCCGGGAAATTACGTTTTGCCGAAACGGTAAAACATGGAGGCACGAATTCTCCCGAATCCGAAACCCTTTCTCCTAAATCTTTCGGCAAAATTTGCCGGATTCGGCAAACCGGGGCCCGGGTAGGCACAGGAAACTTCCACTAAGTTTCCTGTAAACTTCCTCCTACGTTGCCGGCAGTTTGATAGAAGTTTGGGGCTGGAAACGGGGCCTGCCGAGGAAATCTGATAGAAGTTTCAAGGCCTGAACCGAGGAAGTTTGGTGGAAGTTTCGGCGGCGACGTGTGGAAGTTTGCTCCTCTGTCTGTCTGTCTGTGTGTGTGTGTGTGTGTCTCCAGCTGGACTATAGGGCCAAGTGGCAGAACACGGCCACTATAGGAAACATAATGGCATTTCGGAGGAAAAACCTCGGCATTAGCTGCCAAAACAAAGGAGTGCCTGCTGCTTATAAGGCCTCCGTTGGAGCAGGGCCTCTGAAAGGGTAAAGGCAATTCTCCAGATCTTCCTGTGTGTCCAAGTGGCAGAACACGGCCATTAGGAAACATAATGGCATTTCGGAGGAAAAACCTCGGCATTAGCTGCCAAAACAAGGGTAAACGCCATTCTCCAGATCTTCCTGTGTGGCCAAGTGGCAGAACACGGCCATTAGGAAACATAATGGCATTTCGGAGGAAAAACCTCGGCATTAGCTGCCAAAATAATAAGCATACTCTCTCTTTTGACCGTATTGCATCTGGCACAGATTCACAAGCCTGTAAAACATACATGAAAAGAAAACATGTAACAAAACATTGTTCGGCACAAAGAAAGCACAAGAGTGGCTTCAGGGTTGAGGGTTTAGGGGTTTGGGCTTGAGGGTTGAGGGTTGAGGGGCCTTCTAAACGGTTACATATAGGTGCAAAATGCAAGATGTTATATATAGAAACATGACCAGAAGCATGACAGAGCGAAACCCTGAACAAGACACACACACACACAGACAGAGTGACACACACAGACAGACTCACAGCTCACAGACAGAGTGACAAACACACACTCTCTCTCGCGGTCGCACAGTCACAGGTCCATCCTCGCTCACGGTTGCTTCTCTCTCGGTCCCACTCATAGGTCCATCGTCGCACACGAAGAGCTTTCCTGGCACAGCAAGGTGTTGGGAGACTCTGGCGCTTTGTGCAAAAGGTTTAAGGCTTTCCTGTATACATACAGTACTGAGGCCCCCCTGCTTTTCACTCACCGTGCTTCCGGAACTGGAGGTGCAGTGCGATGCGGTATCGCTGGCACATCTTAACCTCAGTCTGACCTGGCCTTTGGCCTCTCGCACAGGCTGCTGTGACCTTTTGAACCCTTCGTTGCATGTCCTCGCCGCTAAAGCACCAAATCATCCTTGGGTTTATAAAGCGGGCCTCCAGGCCAAGATGTTGCAGAAAGTGCGACTTCTCCGTGTAATTGAACAGCTTCGGATCATGGTCGCTGAAGTGTTGGGAAAGCTCCTTCTGAAGAAGCAAGAACCCAGTCATTGCATCCCTGAATGCATTGGCATCTGCTTCGGCAAAGGCGAACTCAAACTTGTTCACCTCCAAAAGCTCCTCCAGCTTCCAATTTAACTTCAAAAGCAAATGGAGCTTTCTGTGGAGGTCGATGCCTGCTGTCATTCGGGCGGCCCATATGGCAAGTAGCGGCCTCGCCAACGATCGGTTTTCCGCCGCTTTGCCTCGTAGGCTCAAACTCTTCTTTTGGGCCCTGTAGAACATTGATATCCTGTTCAGGTACTGGAAGCGGGCATGGACCTCAAAGGCCTTGTAGTGCCTTTGAATCTCCGACCACAACCAGCTCATGTTTGCTTCTGGGCTGCCGAAGGCCAACACATGGAAAACCAGTAAATAAAGTATCGAGGAATACAGGATCCTGTCAACACCCAAATATTTGCAATGCATGTAGTCATACCCCAGGTTGCAGATGGATGTCCACGGCATATGAAAAAGCGGGCATGTGGACTTGCCCGCAGCCGGCAAAGCTTTCCAGGCCGCCGGGGAGTAAGCACTGCTCATCCAAGTGGCCGTTGGCCTAAAATCCTGCCAGGACATGTCGCCATATTTCGTCGCCCGGCAGCGACTGCACGGGGCAGTGACTGATGTTGACCTCGCCACATCCAGTATTGTGGCATAATAGTCGAGGTCTCCCACCACTGAAAAAAGGACTGCGCCATAGCCCTCAGCCAGCGGTTTGCCAGCTTTCTTGCCTTCGATGGAGCCTGGCTCATACCTTAACTGGCATCAGGTGTGAAAAACTTCTGCATTGATTTGTTGTGCTTGCCAATCTTCACACAACAGTATCTACTGTGTCTGTTTGATTTAACTAATGCTTTGAAACGATAAGGCCGAGAGGCCACCTCACATTCTGCATATCTATAGGAAATTCCTCGCACACAATAACATAAAACTACACATTAACATGCACATGAATATACATATAGTCTTTTCCTTATACATATACATATACATATACATAGACATATACATATACATGTGTGTGTGCAACGGGTCTTCACAGCTTACCAAAGTCTGAGAAAAGCAATTCTGCCAAGATTCACTCGACCCAAGTGGTCAGCTGACGGCCAAACACCGTCGAAGAGTGCCTGGAAGCTCCAACGAAGCAGGTTGAAGACAAAGTGTGCAGTCCCAGTCAGATCTTTGGCATCCACCCTCATTTTATCCACCAGGGCATACACAAAAAACAAGGAGTCAGCTGTGGAAGTGCTCATCGTCAGTAAGCTATACCAAGCAAAGTTTGTGACAGTCTGCACCCAGGATTTGCCCAGCCCCGTAATGGGAACACCGTCCCCGTGTAAGGCCAGTGGTATCAGCCGCCGCTTCCAATTCTTTTTTCGGGTCATGGCGGGTGTAATGTTCGGGTTCTTGCTCTCCACCATAACATTCCAAAATCGCTCCAGAGCATCCGAATTCGGACAGATGGACTTCTCCCATGTGGCCCTGTAGGAGGCATAGATGGACGAAAAGAGGACATGGGGAAGCATCACAGCCTGCAGCATCATGCCCCATGGATTCTTGAAAGGAACCTTGACCAGAAAAGGTGTTGGAAGACGAATGCCTTTGGCAGCAGTCTTGTAAACTGCCTGGTAGACCTTGTTGGCATACTTACCATGCAATCCTGCCTCCCCGAGCTTCTTCAGCTTTGTAAGATCTCGCTTCTGCTCGGAGTCTTGAACAGCCAGATCTGCAATAGCTTGTATGTCTTGGGCACTCATCTCGCCCCAGGACCATTTCTGAAGTAGGTGTTCCGCCAAAAGGCTGCCCTCGACCTCAGCCTCTTCCTTTCTCTGCTGCTCGAGCCTTTGCCTCAGTCCTCCACTTCTTGCTCTTTTCCTCGAAGCCATTGCGGTTGTCGGAGAAGCAGTTCGCTGCACAATTACTGCCTATATATGTACATATATCTACTTAAAGCCACTCAACCAAGCGGTTTTGCTTCTACATTTCTGGGCCGTCTATAACCGTAACATTCATTCATTTGCATGATACACATATATACATACACATGTAGAAGTTTTTCATATGCCGATACAGACACATGAACATTTGCCTATGCATGCATTTTCCTGTACAAAGCCTGTATAAAGGATTCCGTATGGAGCAGTCAGTGTCATTTACACATAGAGATATGTATATACATATATATATATAGTGTATATATATATATCTATTCGGGTTCAGGGTTTAGGATTTAGGTTGGTTTTAGGATTTAGTCTTTTGGACTTGCTGTCCCTCTGTGGCTCACTATGCCAAAGAGCTGACATGTCCACGGACCAGGGGAGTGTTTGAACACGTGTTTGTTTTGTGAAAGGTTTCTCAGGCATATGATTTAGAGTTGGGGTTCAAGTCCAGCTTTTGTTGTTAGGTCAGACATGCTTGTGCTTTGGACCTCGAGAGAAAATGAGTGCACCTAGAGGGCCTGAAACCTTATGAAAGGAACTTGTGGGCTTCTTAAACCTTGTGAGAGAGTGCACCTTGAGGGTTTTTCTACCATTTGAGAGAACCTTGAAACCTTCTGAGGGTTTAAAAACCTTGAGAGAGCAATCATATGAACAATAGTGCAGCTTCAAGGCCTTCTCACCTTTTGATGAAACCACACGGTCTGCAAAGCCTGGAGCCCCAGAAAGCCAAGTCGCAGATATAATGAAGTGTCTGGCATTCTGAACTTACAACCCTGAAACTATCCTAGACATCGAAACCCCAAAGACCCCAACAACCCCACGGTTTTAAACCCGAAATTCGACAACCCAAGCCCCAAAACCCCAAAGACCTCAATAACCCTAAAGCTTTAAACCCGAAACCCGAAAACCCAAGCCCCAAAACCCCAAAGACCCCAATAACCCTAAGGCTTTAAACCCGAAACCGGAAAACCCAAGCCCCAAAAACCCAAAGACCCCAATAACCCTAAGGCTTTAAACCCGAAACCCGAAAACCCAAGCCCCAAAAGGCGAGGTTTAGAGTTTTGGGGGTTCGGAAACCGGGTTTAAGGCTTGGGGTTTGAGGGGGGGGCCAGGCGACAATGGCCAAGCACAGCAAAACGATACGTTAGAATCCTAAACCGAAACCCTGTCTGGTACCTCCGCCTCGATCCAGCAGCATGGCCTGCAGCACAGGGTTTCGCACATGTGTGAAGGGGTACCGGGATCTTCGGCTTGATCTTTCGGCTGGGTTTTAACTACATGATTTCTGTCTAAGATCCCAGAGAAGGAAGTTTGAACGACTCAGTGGTTTATTTTGCACACAGTCAGGCCTAGTCTAGCCTTTTTAGGTAATTTCAAGTCTAGATATAAGCTTTGGGATGTCGGCTCGGCTTTGGAGTTGCTGTTGAGTTGTGTCAGAGTTTAGCGAACTCAGGCGCTTTCGCGGGGTTTGGAGAGTCGGGGTTTGGAGAACCCAAAACACTATACCCCGAAACACCAAACCCGAAGAACCCTAGCCCTAAACCTTCAACACCAAACTCTAAACCCTCACTAGAAAAACCCTATATAACAACCCGAAGCCCCAAACCCTAAACACGAACCCCGAAACCCCTGAACTCCTGTGGGTCTGGTTGTGGCTTGAGTTGAGAATGACAACAAAGGGAAGTTTAAAAAAGTCAGTGGCTTTTAAAAGGTTTCAGGGGTTCGGGGGGACTTGAAACAGCCCATATAACACACCAAAGCGGCATCTCACAATGACAATAAAGGGAAGTTTAAAAAAGTCAGTGGCTTTTAAAAGGTTTCAGGGGTTCGGGGGGACTTGAAGGGAAGTTTAAAAAAGTCAGTGGCTTTTAAAAGGTTTCAGGGGTTCGGGAGGACTTGAAACAGCCTATATAACACACAAAAGCGGCATCTGACAATGACAATAAAGGGAAGTTTAAAAAAGTCAGTGGCTTTTAAAAGGTTTCAGAGGTTCAGGGGGACTTCAAACAGCCCATATAACACACAAAAGCGGCATCTCACAACTCATGGTTGCCAACTTTCACAACTCTCACGGTGTGGCAGACGGGTGCCGGTATCATGTGCGACTCTGCACACAGAAATCCTCTGAGCTCTCTGTGGTGTGTGGCTCCCAAAACGGATCACTGTAGCAGATGCAACCAAAAGACTCGTGTGTGCGGCCAGCCAACTTCGCTGATGTATGTCTGCAACCCCATTATAGCTAAGATGCCTTCTACGGTTAGCCATCCTCGATGTGCTGGCCAGCTCGCGAGCGATCCCAGGCTTAGGCCCTTTGGGCTTTAGCCTCGCCCTTGCATCTATGGAAAACAACGTTGAAAGCCTCCATCTCAGCAGCAACTTCCTTGATGAAGCTCAAGAATGCATTCTTCGTCACCGGGGTGCCGTCGGCGAACGAGCCGAGGTCCTGGAGGTGCGAGAGCTTGGAAGAAATCACCAAGCTCTTGCTGTAAGCCGCCTTCAGCTCCTTCAGTGGCTCTTTGCCACCGCTCCAGGTGTTGATCAGGTTTCGGCTTTCTTTGCTCAACTTCTCCAGGGCTGTCGTTGCTTGCTTGAGCAGCTTCAAGGAATCGTCGGAAAGGCTGCCACTCTCGTCCACCGTAGAGTCGACCTTCTCGAAATTGAAGCTCCATTTCAGGCTTCGGAATGCACACTTCAGGGAGTCCAAGTCCTGCATGCTGATCTTCTTCCGGGCATTCGTCTCGTGAACGGTTTCCTTGCCATGCTCCTGTCCCACGACGAACTTGCGAAATGCATAGAAGTCCACGTCGCTGCCTTCCTCGGTCACCTTGAACACCTCGCCCTTCTTCAATGCAGAGTCAAACGATCCTCGATCGCCATGGAAATAAAGCCCGACCATAAGGCTTTCCGGGATTGCCTCGTCTTCCGTTCGCTTGTACTTCCGATTGAAGATCTGGCCAGGGATGTGGTGTCATCGGGTTAGGGTTCAGGGGTTTAGGGTTGGGGGCTTTATGGGGTTAGGGTCTATAGTGTCTCGGGGTTTAGGGCTTACAGTTTAAAGGGTTTTATCAGGTTAGGTTTGGGGTCCAGGGGGCTTTACTGTATAGGGGCCTTAATACTTACAATATAGGGTTATTGTGTATATTATGCTCTAGAATAGCCTACACAAGGAATAATAATTGAAATTATTCGGGCTTCTTTAGCATCGGGCATGAGGGTGCGAGGGTTTAATTGTTCAGGGTTCAATGTTGCAACTTTAGGTTTTCAAATGGGTCTTATATATGAAGATTGAGCTTCGGCTTGGGGCTGGGTTTGGGAACGGCTAAACACCCTGGTGTTCGGGGTTCGCGAGGCATAACAACGTATATATATATATATATAAGTTTATCTTTATATTTATATTTATATTTCAAATTATGTGCATATATATATATACATGCATACATACATAGATAAATAGATAGATACATAGATAGGTTTGGGGTCAGGGTCAAATGTTGTGGGGAGCCGACTCCAAAGCAGAAACCCCACCCTTAGACTAGCTAATCCAATACACCACATGGAACATCCTTGAAGGCTTAAGCCTGACACCCAACAAAACCCCGAACCCCAAAATGAAAATATACTAGAACAAGAAAGCCAAGTCACCTTCTGAGCTTCCACAAAGGTGGGGTCGCTCAGCTGGAGGCTGAACGACCCGTCGGCCTCTTTGCGGTACAACTTGTTAATCAAATTTGTCTTCGCAGCTCTCGGACTGGAGCTTTTCTTAGTCTCCTCCTCTATGAGGGAGACTATGTAGGGCGGCAAGTCGGACTTCTGCCTGTTGTACTTGATGGCTTTGCCTTTGTCTCTGTGCTGGTGGTCCTCGGCAGGCTCCGCCGTGGACTTGTGGATGTTGTCCTGCAACTCCTGCAAAGCCGACGGTCGCTTCATCGAGGTCTTACCCTTCCCCGCGGGGTCCTCTGCCTTGGCCTTGGGCTTTGCTGTCACCTTGGACTTGGCTTTGGCCTTGGCTTTGGCCAAGGCTTTTGCCTTGGCCTTTGCTTTGGCCTTTGTCTTGGCCATCAACTTAAGGGGCTTCTGCTTCATCGCCGTCTTGACTTTGCCCTGGGGCTCTTCGGCAGCACTCTCCTCCTTCTCAACATGTGGGGGCATGGCTCAGGGAAAGAGGCACCACCAACCGCTCGAGCAAAAGCCCAAATCTGTGGCCGAGACATGCTGTCCTCCAACCAAGCATAGCAACCCCAATGGAAGTTTGGTAGAAGTTTAGTAGAAATTTCCACCAAACTTCTAGTAGCAGTTTGGTGGAAGTTCGGTAGAAGTTTGATAGCAGTTTGATAGAAGTTTGGTGTAATTTAGCAATGTTTTAGTGGTATGCTTCGAGAATTGGCCTCTTAAAACTTCTAGTGAAACTTCTACTTGGGGGGTGGAAGTTTAGTGGAAACTTATATTAAACTTCTACTAGGGGGGGTGGAAATTTAGTGGAAACTTCTATTAAACTTCTACTTGGGGCGATGTAAGTTTAGTAGAAATTTCTATCAAATTTCTACTAAACTTTTGTCTATACGTAAGGCAATATGATGGACTCAGGGCTTCGGGGCTGGGTTTCCTTATCCGTGTCTGGTGTTCTTTGGGTCCCGAAACCACAGAGCCCTAAACCCTAACGGCCCCAAGCCCTAACCCTAAACCCT